AAGGTGATTTACCACCTGGATGAGGAGGAGACTCCGTATTTGGTGAAGATCCCGGTCCCCGCCGAGCGCATCACCCTCGGCGACTTCAAGAGCGTCCTGCAGCGGCCCGCGGGCGCCAAGTACTTTTTCAAATCTATGGATCAGGATTTCGGGTGAGCGCGAGGCCTAGCCTGGGGCCGAGGGGGGCTGCGCCCGGGCTGATTGGCGGGGTTGCGGGGCACGGCTTAGTCTGGGCCATGCTGGCGTTTCCTGGGCTGTAGGAGCGGACCACTGTGGTGGGTTGGATTGGCTGTCCCAGGAGGGACAGACAGGCGCACGGAGCTGTAGGAGGACTGGCTATGCTAAAGCAGGAGCCAGATTAGCGGAGATTAGGTTCTCCTGGAGCAGAGTGGGGCGCACTGGTTCATTCGGGGGCATTCTGGACTGTCCTGAGGTAGATCGCTCTACCCTCTCATTCTGCGTAGTTCTGTAGCGCAGATACTATGAAATCTGATGTAGATTGGGCTCTATTGGGGCAACTTGAGACACTCCGTCCTGGGCCAGGGCCGCTGGGATTGTTTGGGGACCTTCGTCGGTACTAATTAATGCAGAGGGTGCTGTATGGGGGTGTTGAAGGCTGGGGGTAGATTGGGCCGTTCTGGCCTCTATTGGATTGTATTGGTTGATCTTGGTTTGTTTTGGGGCCTGGTTTTTATTGGGACACTCAGTACTCTTGGTGTCTCTGCCAATACTGACAGCTGTATGGGGATATTCTAGTATGTGTTGGTGCAGACAGCTGCGTGTGGGGACACTCTAGGCTGTGCCAGAATATATTGGGCTATCCTGGGGTAATTTGGGACATTCTGGGCTAAGCTGGGACTTTAAATAATGCAGAGTGAGCTCTTTTGTGTTTATAATTTTGGGTACTGAACCTCAACCTCAGCGCGCTCGCTCTCTCCTTTTAATCTTCACTTGATGTTTTTATCGATTTGAGAGAGAGGAGAAGAGAGAGAGAAATGTTGATGTGAAAGAGAAACATCAACCGGTCGCCTTCCATACGTATCCTGACCAGGGATCCAATCTGGAACCTAGGTTATGTGCCCTGACCAGGAAGGAATCAAACCTGGAGCCTTTTGGTGCATGAGACAACGCTCCAATCAACGGAGCCACCTGGCCAGGGCTCAATTTCCAGCTCTTTTTTTGTTTCTTTTTGTATTTTTATTGATATCAGAGGGAAAGGGAGAGATAGAAACACCAATGATGAGAGAGAATCATTGATCAACTGCCTCCTGCACACACCCCCCCCCCCCCCCGGGGTTGAGCCCACAACCTGGGCATGTGTCCTTGACCAGAATCGAACCCAGGACCCTTCAGTCCGCAAGCCAACGCTCTATCCACTGAGCCAAACCAGGTAGGGCTCAACCTCAGCTCCTGAAAGCAGACTGAATAGGCTGGGATAGGCTGGGTTCTAGGAGAGCCAAATCAACTGGGCTCCATCTAGAAAGATTGTTGGCCATTGGGAAAATGGTATTGTCTGGGGAGTTACCTTGGATTTAAATCAAGGTTCTTCTATTTGTCAGCAGTGTAATTGGGCAATTTAAAAAAGTTTGTGCCTGATCTTATCTGTGAAATGCAGATGGAGTAAAATGCTTAGTACAGGTGCATAGCACACATTAATTCTTGGCCAGTGGTAATTGGCAGTATTGAGTTTGACTAGTCCCTAAACTAGGTTATGGTAATACAGACTGGAATCGTTGGGAAGGCTGGGTTATGCTGAGACAGATTGGTATGCTGTGAAGAATATGACATTATGCTGGGACAGATTGGTAGTGACTGGACTGTGTTTGTTACATTGAAAGCAAATGGGATTAAGTTGGCATGTATCCAGGGGTCTAGAACATATTCGGCTAAAAGGTAAATCAGACAGGATGTCCTATTGGGGGGGGGTGGGCTGTGAGAGAGAGAGAGAGAGGTGGGGGGAATGTGTATGAGATTCTGTTCAGGGCAGGGAGGCTCATAGTTCATATGTGTATTCCTTTAGTCAACAAGTATTCGTTGATGTTTGTGAAGTGTCAGGTACTTTGCTGTGTGGCCAGGACATGGTGTTGAATGTAATTGATTCCACAGGTGGTTGAAAAGGGGCAAGTCCAGTCCATCTCAAGGAACCCAGGGGAGATGGGACCCCCAGGGTTGGTCATTGAAGCCTGTCGGGTGGAGCAGATTGCAGTCTGTGGCAGGTGAGGCACAGGAATGGGAAGCAGGGCCTGCCCTCCCCTTGGGAACTCAGCCTGGTGAGGAAATGCCAGAGTTTGGTTTGATGGTTATTTTTACTCAGGCAGAGATAGTGCACTGGATGGCTCCCTGGAAGTGAGTTAGAGAAAACTAAGGAAAGCCTAAGAGCAGTCTTAGATGAGGACCAGCGACTTTGGAGGGAGAAGGTATGTGAGAAACAGTGGAGGCTGCCAGCAAGGCTCCTAAGGTTAGATATTTGGGGCAACTGGGGTAACTTAGGGGGTGGCCTCTTAAATTGGACGGAGAGTTCTGAGTCAGGCTCAAGGAGATCTTTGGAGCAGCACTGAGCCCCTGAGGGTGAGCTGGGGCGAGAAGAAATAAAGAAACAGCATTGAGTTTGTAGATATCGTAGGTATAAGTGCGAAGTGTTTTAATGCGAGAGAAGAGGACTTAGACAGGGTGGGAGAAATTCAGCATCACATCCTTGAGCTGGGTGGAGATTGGGAGAGCCCTTCTGGCTCTCTGAGCAACACCATGGTGGTCTGCAAGAATAGGTGCCTTAGGAAAGGTGGCAGAAAGGGAGCCAACTAGAAACGGGTTGAGCCATTTTCTAAGAAAGATTGGTATGATGTGAAAGCACCAACTCTGTTCCATATAAGAAATACTGGAGCCCTAGCTGGTTTGGCTCAGTGGATAGAGCATCAGCCTGCGGACTGAAGGGTCCCGGGTTCGATTCCAGTCAAGGGCATGTACTTTGGTTGCGGGCATATCCCCAGTGGGGGGTGTGCAAGAGGCAGCTGATCAATGTTTCTCTCTCATCAATGTTCCTAGCTCTCTATCCCTCTCCCTTCCTCTCTGTAAAAAAATCAATTATATATATATGAAAAAACACTAGTCATGAGAACACAGGAAACCAAAATTGCATCCAAAGGTCTCAAAGGCCATGTTTTTGAAGTGAGTGTAGCTGATCTGCAGGGTAATGAAGTAGCATTTAGAAAATTCAAGCTAATTACTGACAGTGTTCAGGGCAGACCTGCCTAATTTCCATGGCATGGATCTTACCATGGAGACAAAATGTGCTCCATGGTCAGAAAATGGCAGACCATGACTGAAGCTCGTGTTGATGCCAAGACTACCGGTGGTTATTTGCTTCATCTGTTCTGTGTTGTTTTTACTAAAAGACACAACAATTAGATTTGGAAGACCTCTTATGCTCAACATCAACAGGTCCACCAAATCCAGAAGATGATGATGGAAATCATGGCCCGAGAGGTTCACAGATGATTTGAAAGAAGTGGTCAATAAGTTGATTCCAGATAGCATTAGAAAAGGCTTGCCCATCTATTTGTCTGCTCCAAGATGTCTTTGTTAGAAAGTCTAAATGCTGAAGAAGCCCGCGTTAGAGTTAGGGAAACGTCACGGTGAAGGTAGTAGTTCTGGGAAAGGCACTGAGGCTGAGTCAGGTGCTAAAGTTGAACGAGCTGATGGATATGAGCCCCAGTCCAGGAATCTGTTTAAGGGAAGACTTCTAATGGTGACAAATAAAGTATCCTGTTTGTGCCGCCTGGTTTGGCTCAGTGGATAGAGCATCAGCCTGTGGACTGAAGGGTCCTGGGGTCCATTCGGTTGGGGGCACATGCCCTGGTTGCCGGCTCAGTCCCAGTAGGGGGCAAGTGCAGGAGGCAGCTGGTCAGTGATTCTCCCTCGTCATTGATGTTTCTATCTCTCTCCCTTCCCCTCTGAAATCAATAAAAAGAAATCCTATTTGTGATTTAAAAAAAAAATTGGGAGAAACTTTGGGGATGGGTTTGGAGGGACCGTCCAGTCTCACTGACTTTTCATCCTGGCTTTCGACAGGGTGGTGAAGGAAGAAATTTCAGATGACAATGCCCGCCTTCCCTGCTTCAACGGAAGAGTTGTCTCCTGGGTAAGGGGCCCTGGCTCTGAGGGCCCAGTCCCTCCTGTATCACCAAGCTCCGTCAAGCCTTAGTCTGGCCTTGTAGCCCAACCCCTGATTAGTTGTTGGAGATCCTGGCTCTTTGCTTCCCCACCTGTTTGGAGAGCTCATTGAAGTCCCTCATCCCTCTCTCTCTGGAGCCTCTAATGCTTCCTCCTGCTTTTTGATGCTTTTCTCCTGGCTCTGGCAGACCCTGTCCCCTTTCTAGTCCTTTCCCTCACTCCCATTTCATATGCCTCATGTCCCAGTACATCTTTTTTTTTTATCACTTGCATCCTTCTAGCTTGTGTCATCCGATAACCCTCAGCCCGAGATAGCTCCCCCAGCCCAG